GGAACTGTGATCGCACCTGTGAGGTTATGTTCGCAGGAGTGAGACCGCAAAAGTGGCAAAGGGGTCGCAGAAGCGTCCTGGGTGAGATGGGAACTGGTCGCAGGTGCGAGGAGGATTTGTGCATCATCGAGCCCGCAGATGCGACGAGTACTCCGCAGAAGTGGAGAAGGGCAGCTGGGCGAAGTGCCGCAGAAGTGAGGTTGCAGGAGCGGATTTTTGTCCGCAGAAGCGGACTTGTCTGGGTTAGTGGGAAACACTCCTGCGATGGGAATTTCCTCAGGTGCGGAGCTGCAGAAGCGACTAATGGACCGCAGGTGCGATGGTCGGGCTGGGTAGTGTGTTCTTTTAAAACGGGGGTTTGGCTCAATTCCCCTTCATTTAGTCCATGGGAGCCAATTTTGGAGCAATTTTGAAGTGTCGTCTTCATCAACTATTATGGGTTAAGTGGTTTCTTCACAATGTGAGTTAAATACATGCTTTACATATGGATTTAAGCATGAGAAATATGTTAAAAATTATGATATTGGTAAAAAACCTAAAAAATTGGTATTTTTGGATTTTGACCACGATTTGGGAATTTAAGAATAGATTATATATTTGAGTTCCTGGTGTTATGGGTAAAGTTTATCTTCAAAAATTTTCGAAATCCGGGCACGTGGGCTCGAAAGGTAACTTTATCGACTTATCGAGCTGAGTTGGGGATTTATTTAAAATGATTTATTACAAGAATTGGAGAATATTTTTATGGTTTGCACATTTGTTTGACTAGTTTCGAATCTTTTGGCCTTAAATTGAAGAGTTAGAGAGGCGTTGGAGTCGGTTATAGAACTTTAGAGCGAGGTACGTCTCTTGTCTAACCTTGGGGGAACTACCTCCTAGGTTGTGTAATTGCTACATGATACTACTTGTGGGTATACTAGGCCGAGCCTTTTCACCTTGAGTTAATGGCTAGTTATTTGAGAAACGGTAAAGATTATGTTCACTTTGTGCTCATGTACTATATAGTAGGCACGTGTCTCGTGATTCGATAACTTCCTTCTTTTTTTTGTGGAGCGGGCCGAACGCCTCGGTGGTATATAGATGCATCTATGGTTCGTGCCGCATAACCCTTGGCAGTGTACACATTATTCAGGATTGGGCCGAACGACCTCGGCGGAATCTTGCGTTATATCATTAGTAGTCCGAATAATCACAAGCTAATCTTACCACTAATGCCCGGTATTTTATCTGGTGTTCCTCATTTATTTGATATTGACACTTGACACTTTCTGAGTTGTTAAGGTAGAATACAAGGTTTAGAAGTTCGTGCTTTTAACGAAAACATTTGGGAGATTATGTAACTTACAGATTTACCCCATGATTGTCGTATGCTTCATATCTGTTTATGCTTTTATTGTATTGTTTTATTTGACCTCTAGTAAGTGTCGATGTCGACCCCTCGTCACTGCTTCTCTGGGGCTAGGCTAGATACTTACTAGGTACGTGTTGATTTATGTACTCATGCTGCACTTCTGCACTAAATGTGCAGGATTTGACAGGTCATTGGGTGATCATCTTGGCGCGTAGGCGCATCTGTTGAGGAGACTTTATGTGAGCTGCAATCAAGGCTATGCACTGCAGTCCACCGAGTCCCCATTGTACCATTTATTTTATCTTATCTTATTTACATTCTGGACATATGTTGTATTATTTGATGTACTCCATAGAAAATGCTCATGCACTTGTGACACCGGGTTTTGGGGGTTCCTACGGGTTGTTCGTTATTGTAATTGCGTATTTATTATCATGTTACCCTGAAAATTCTATTTATTACCATTATATTAGTAGAGATTATGATTTCAAAAGTAATAAAATAAGTAAATAAATTGATAAATCAACATTGGCTTGTCGGACTGCGGCGTTAGGCGCTATCACAACCTATAGTGAATTTTGGGTCCTGACAACGTTATTATAAGCAGAAAGTAAACATTTTCATGCTAGTTATAAGCATCATAAACAACTATAGTTCACAGAAATACAACCAACATATTCACAACGTTTATACAAGATTATTAAAGAGAGAAGTTAGGACTGTACTGACCTTTTAGAGGGCAGCGGACCAAATAAAGATCTCTCTTAGTTTCTTAAGACCCCAAAATCTTCAAGCTAGAAGCAACTACATCACTCAGAAACGAAATAGAAAACAGTAAGGAACCCTAGGTTTTGATCTCAAAATTGCTCTTAGATGATTGTGTAGATGTTTTTTCAGTGTTAGCTCGTGTTGGTGAGAACATTAAAGGCTCATTTTATAGTGTCATTTAAGACTCTAGGGTTTCACAGATTCAAAATAGTTGTGGGAAGTGATGATAGATCAATCACTACAACATTATGCATCTATAGATATGAAATCTTAGCTATGAATTTAAAAATTATAGCTAATACCTAATAATAGCCACAAAAATTAGAATTCTATGGCTATTTGCAAAATTATAAAATTTCTTTGCCACGAAAATTAAGTTGGTAAAGCTAATTCCTCAAATTAGCTATAATTTCTAACAATCATGGCAATAACTACTTAAATAGCTACAAATTTAGTGCTACAAATAAAATCTGGTAGCTAATCATAAGTTTTTGCCACGCATCAATAATTACTGTAGCAATAGTTACCTTTTAGTCACAATAAATTATTTGAAATAAAATATTGTAGCTAAATGAGTATTTTTGCTTCAAGTTCTAAAAAGTTGTGGCAATAGTTAAATGATATAGCCACGGATTTATTGCTATAATTGAATTATGTAGCTAATCATTAGTTTTTTGCCACGAGTTGAAACTTACTATAGCTATAGTAACTTTTTAGCAACAATAAAATATTTGAAAGAAAATATTATAGCTTAATGAATATTTTTGCTTCAAGTTATAAAAAGTTGTGGCAGTATAGATAAAGTTAGCCACATATTTCTTGCTTTAATAGAATTTCGTAGCTATTCATTAATTTTTACCACTAGTTGAAACTTAATATAAATAATAACCTTTTAGTCACAATTTAAATCAAAATGTTACTAAATAAATAATTTTTCTTCAAGTTATAAAAAGTTATGGCAATAGTTATCACGATAAAATGCTATAGCCAAGAATTCATTGCTACGATAAATTTTGTAACTAATCATTAATTTTTGCAACAAGGTAAATCTTACGTAACAGTAGCAATCTTCTAGCCACATTAAAAATTTGAAAAAAAACTTTGTAGTCAAACAAATATTTATCTTCTTATTTTAAGAACATAAAGATAGTTAGATAATAGTTACAACTATTTGTCATGACAAATTAATAGACACAAATTTAAAGTGACGATAAATTTACGAGTTAACTATACCTTTAGTCGTACAGTTAGGATTGTCATTTCAATAATAATATTTTAACCACAATATGTACAAAATTTCATAAGTGAATAACTTTATTTCAATGACAAAAATAAGAGTTCACTACAAGAAAAAAAACTGGAATTAGCTACGAACGTCATCGCTAATTTGTCGCTAAAACGCTCGTAGCTAGAAGAATTTCATGATAATCTGTTGCTAAATGATATTAGTGACGGATTTTTCTATTTAGCAATGTTGCTCAAACAATATCAAGTTATGAAAATTTAATTTTAACTATAAAAGTTGTATTTTTCCAAAATAATATAAAATAGTAATATATATAGATTTAAGTATTAATGAACATTAAATATGCAAAAGTTAATTTTAATAGGCCATTTGTATGCCTACTTGTAGCCTCTGAACTTATCAATTTACTTTATTTATTAAACTCATATTTTATTTTATTGCACCTCGTTATTTTTGGATGTTATATATATATATAT